AAAAGACAAAGAAAACATACTTGTGGTAAACTTCATAGAACTCTTTGTACTGCTAGTAGTTTTCACTTTATCCATACCCTGGCAGTACCACCAAGGTGTAATGATTTGTTGAACTCTGTCATTTACTGTACCTCGACACCAAACTTGCGTCGTGAGTGTCACCTTCTACAATTAGAAATACTAATTATTTCTATTTTTCAGAAACCAAAAGAAAACCAGAAAACCAACCTTCAAATGCCTCATCAAGACACACTAAAGATTCAAAACCCGTCCAACAAAAATCACTCCATCGTTGTAATACAAAGCATAGCGTGCCTTGCGGATGTCTTTGCAACGATATTTCTCACCCACATTGATGCAATCATTGTTCCAAGCGTAGACGACAAAGGCCAACAAAAGAAGACTCGCAACTTTGATCATTTTCTTTTTGAAATTGACTTGATATAATGAACTTGTTCAAATTACGTGAGTAAAATGTTTTTGTTAAACGCAAAAACGATAGAGCTGTTTGCGTAAAAGTCTCTAGAAAGGAGAAACAAAAAGTTCAAAAAATTGGCAATTTTTCAAAGACAAAATATTGTCCTCAAAAAGAAACTTGAGATGAAGTCTCAGAAAGCCAAGAACCACCCGAATGGTTGGAAGAAACGAGAGTGAACCGTTACTCAATTGATAGCGGGTCTTGCATACAGATAATTCTTTAACTGTTTACAGTCAAGTAGAACTGTATGAATTCCTGCACACCTCAAATGAGGGTGATGAAAAGGAATCTGGCATATAAAAATCACGCATGCCTGGGCGTGCAGAGAAAATAAGAGGTCTTATTTTTTTTATTGTCCGCAGAGAATTTGTCATGAATACTTTTGGTTGTTCTCTTTAACCTAGCAGACGACGCTTCAAACAGCTGTGTTGCGATATTCTGTCTCACACCCTTGCTGCGTGAGGCGCCGCCAAGTCATGTGCCAAGGGTTATGAAACCCTCGCTGAACTAGGTCAGATCTGGGTCTGACCGCCATTGCGACATACTGGCCATCCAAATCTATATAGCCTTCTGTATTTACTGTCTTGCGCGCTCATTGTTTCTCTGGACATTGACTGAATATGTTTCTGCTGTTGAACACGGAATAAAGCTGTCTTACTATTTTGTACTTTGAGGAGTTGTGAATTTACCAATCCCGGCAACAGGAATAAGAAAATCTCCTCACAATAAATAGTTGGGGTTAGTTAAGACAAACTTGCAACTGTAAGTTTAGGCAATCAAAGATTTGGAGACGTCTAAATTAAAGATTGTGAACATATTTAACTAGTTCTGACAACAATGTTTTTAAAAATTTGACAAAATCAAAGATGTTTTACATTTTTGTGCTCACTAGGCAGCCTAAAATAACCTAACCTAAACTAAACTGACCAAACATAATCTAACATTGTTGAAAATTTACAACAAAAAATAATCTGTGGAAGGAAAACATTCTGCTCACCAAATCCTGGAAAGAATCATCAAAATTCTAGTCACCGAATTGTTTGGGTGACCTGACAGTGGTTTGTAGGGCTGGGGATTCTGGAGACAAAGCACAGCCCTGGCTGACAGTTGGATGGAGTGACCAGCATTTACTGGCCAGTGGGTGCACAACCATGATTTGAATGACTGGTGGCTGACCAGACACACCAAGATGCGGATGTAATTGGTGCTTGAACTTTGTTTCCATGCCAAACAAAACATGTAAGATCACATTTTCCCATTGGCTTCAATGGGAGCACATTTAATTGGTTCTCCTGTTCATCAAAATATTGAAAATAAGGCAGTCCCCAAACATTTTAACGGAAAAATGTATCCCTTTGGCCTGAAAAGGAAGTGAAATAAAGAACAAACAAAAATTTTGCTGCACTGTGCATGCACAGAGATGATTGACGCAACTCTGATAAGAGACACACAAAATTAACCTGCTTTTGTTTCAGAATGAGAATACATTTTTGAATTTTTATTTTTTGAATATAAGTAGGTTGATTTGTTCAAGAGACATCAAAATAAAAAAAAACATTATTCTTACTGGTAAATTTCAGCATGTCAAAAAATTGTCTGCAGTGATCTGGGCAGATTTATTTGAGTTTCAAGTTTCCATACATGGAGTAGTCCATAGGTGAGGGTATCTGTAAATCGGTGCTCCACTGGCATATCAATTTTCTTTAGGTCATTCGTCAGGGTCGTCACAGAAGTTCGAAAAATCTGTGTGTTTCAGTGACCGAAACAAATCCTCCAGAAACCAAGAATTCTTGCCCAGGAAAAGGGGAAAATCGCGACATGAGTAAGCTGTGCAAGCCTGAACACAGAACTGAACAAAAACGTGCTGGAAAGGAACATGCATTTTTCTTGCTGCGCAGTTATTGTCAAATTGCATTGTTCTGATGCATCATGCCACATTGAACCATTTACTCTATTCACATCTGGTGAATTGATGTTTTGAAATTCGTTCATCTGTACCAGTTGATCGACGCAAAAACCAACCCGATCAACTGGAAGTGGGTCCAAGGATGGAATCAAACCCTGATGGAAATCCTGAGTGACCCTTCGCAATACAACCAGCTGGAAATGTCTCTACCTGGAGCCAATACCTGCAATGAAGCTTACTTCCAGAACCTGACTCGAACGATCGGTGCTGATGAAAGTCTACAATTCCCGGATGCGGACGTTAACATCCTCTCCATCTACATAACAGATCTGTGACAGAATTTCGTGGCCATTCAATATTTTTTTTCTTTTGTTTCCTCTATTTCATGTTCAAATTTACAGTGGAACCTTGGTTGACAAACTTAGCTTATTCCAGAGAAGGGTTTTATTCAAACATAAAGTTTGATAACTGAATTTGATTTCCTGGTAGACTTCAATGGGGAAAAATTTAATCCATTCTGAGAAGCAGGAAGAACATTGATGAATCTAAATAATAAATCAAGACTATGAGCTATGAGCAAAACAAGTTGTTGTGGCATCTTGTATGTGCCCAGACTGTTTTTTACAGTGCTTTATGTAAGTAGCACTGTTTAAATTTTAAAACAAAGATCTAGAAGATCTTAACATCCAGAGAAATGCACACCAAAGGATAACGAAATTTCTTTTTGAATGCTCCAAGTAAAGTTCGAATAGACATTTTTAGCACTTTTGATTTTTTTTAAACAAGATTAAAAAATTTAAAACGCAAGATTCCACTTATTGGAGTGTCTGAAGAGAAGGATTTTCATATTGGTTATAGGTTAAGTATTTAAACTTCTGTTCTACCAAACATTTCAGCCTCAAAATCAAATTTTGCAATTTCAAAATTGGGATTTTCCCCCAGAATTGTTCTTAATATTGAATTGTGGTTATTCCACCCAAGGAAACCAAAAGTTTGTTAGCCAAAAAGTTTGTGAACTGAGGGATCCACTTTAATATCGACTGCGAACTTATTTTAATTTTAATTTCATGTTGACTGTTCTGTGAATGATAGGATCGAAACATGCCAAGCGACCGGTTTGGAGAACATAATGTTCCCGGAATTTTCCAATTATTATGAATGGGACTCCCCCGCCGCCAACTTGTTTGGTCCGGAGTTGGCTTCTATTTTCAAGAACAAGACATTGTCTCCTATACATGCAGAACTGGTGGACAACTTTAAAGAGTTTATGGTGGACTGTAGATACATGTCCAAGAATTGTACACAAATCGAGTGAGTTTCTGCAGAACAAAACAAAAAACTCCGGCGTGGAGACATAACTGGATTTTTGTACAGTATTGTTGGTAACTGTACTGCGCACGATCAACATTACTGTCGAAAATAAACGCCCATTCATGCAAGTGAAACCTTAAAGGACCAGCAACAAAAACGAAATTTGAGTTGAGGGAACGATCACTTTTGTCGGGGAAAGAAAGAAGAATTGCAAGAAATTTTAAATCCGTGATATATATTCTGGGTCTTTAATTGCTTCTCATTTGAGTTTACAAGATACAGAACTTGCAGGCAAGCATGATAATTTGCGCAAATACTGTAGTCTCTCACTTCCTTGCAAAACGCATAAAGTTAAATTATTTTGCTTCTTTCTTTCTTGTCAATATAATAAATAGCGAAAGGGCCTCCGGAAAATTCGAGACGAGGAAGGTTTGAGAGAAAAAGCCTTCACGTACGTTAGGATATTTCTAATGCAAATATTCCGAGGGAACTCACCAGGAACTTCCAAAAATGTTTTACTGTAAAGGGAGGTTTGAGTAATCGAAGTTCAAGTGCATATTTTACAGACAATTCGTTGCTGAATTCCACGTGTCTTATGGGATCTGCTACACATTCAATCAGGTGACGGAAGAGAAGGATTTGGATAAGGCCAAGAAATCCTTCCGCACCGGGAGCTGGGCAGGTACATAACTGAGGCACATGAGTATTTTTCATCATCAGAATTACTCGATTTCATCAAAAAATTGAGTCAAAGATGATGAATGTTTTTTCCCCATATACAGGAATGAGTATGGAATTGATGTTCAACCAGATGGATTATATCCCCACTTTTGTGGCTGCTGGAGCTGGAGGACGGGTGGCGATTTCGGATCCCGGCACTTTGCCAGATCCCACTGATGCTGGGCACTACATTCAACCAAACACTGAAACTGATTTTGCCCTCAGTTTATCAAAAATTTCAAGATTGAAAGCCCCGTACACCTCGACTTGCTGGGACGCCTGGAATGAATCACCGTTCAAACCTCTGTTCTATGTGAATGCCACCAGCTCTGATATGAAGCCAGTTCTCAAGTACACGCAGAAGGTGACTTCACACCCTTCCTGTCACGGAAATTTAACGCATTGTCAAAAAATTCCATTTTAAATACTCATTTTTCGTTGAAAAACCGTTTAATGAACTTTGGAAGAACATCATTGTTACAATGCTATAAAAACGATGCTCTAATTTTCTACGAAAAGATACATTACTAATTTGGTTTTTCAAATACTTCTTTTGAATCAAATCATTTACCTGATGCAATTGCTGGCCAGTATTTGGGTCATATGGCCATTCATTTTTCATTCTGAAAATGGGTGCGGAATTTTTCCAGAGAATTCAGGTTTTCTGGGATGGAATAACGTTTTTATTCTGATACTGGAATAACGTTGTCATTTTTTACCCAAATAACATCATTAAGCCTCTCCTGCTGGAACAAACATGCAAAAAAAATCTTCCCCCAATCAACAACCCAAATTTTTTTTATGGAATCAGCGGAATTAGGTTAGGTTGGTTCATTTGAGGTTAGATTATTTATGGAATAAATTAATTTTGTTCTGATGTATCAAAGCATATATTGTAGGCTTTATTTACGTTCCTTTTTTACTTAAACAGGCGTTGTACACTTGAATCCAATGATTGAAACAGTTGCATCAGGAAAATTTCAGTCTGAACTTGATTTTTGCCACTGATCTGACTTTTGGATTTATTGCATGAAGAAGTGCATTAACAATGATGAGGAGCACATTGAAGAGCACTGAAGTGTTGCCGCGTGGCAAAAAAAAAATTTGAGCCAAACAATTTTAATTGACCAAACCGTGTTGGATCTAGTTCAACTAGTTACAAGACTCATGAAGCAACTCTTGCATTTCGCAATAGTATGGAACTGGCTTATTCTTTATAATTATTTGCTCCCTTGCTTCTTTCCATTCTATCTTCATTTCCTCTCCCAGTGGTGGAGCCCACGAGGGTTGAACATTACGGTTGAATGGGTTCCATCAGAAAGTTATTGATAATTTCTGATCACATGTCATTTGAAACTATTTTCTCTGCTGTTTTTCTTCCATTGAAAGGAATGCAATACCGCTTGTGAATTGCTGGCAATGATAAACAAATGCAACTGCAGTGATCCTTACTACATGCGGCCATTCATCCACAGTGGTCAAGTGATGAATGATGCGAAGGTACCAGTTTGCCGGCCCAATTCAGGTAATATTACATCGGATGTGCAGTAAATCCCATTGCATTACTCCTCACCATTAATGGGGCATTCCATGATTTGAAAAATTGAAAGATCATGCATGGGTGTCTTTCCGTTGATTTCTCTCAATTTTTGGACTTGATAATACAGTATACTGAATAAATCTTGAAACAAATCCAGATAAACATTACATCAAATAATCTGTGAGAGTTCTTGATTCTCATGCTTTTAAATATCTTCATTCAATTGTTATAACTGATATGTGGGGAAAATGGGGCATGACCACAAATATGGAAATAATTTCTCTTTTTCTCGTTATTGTCAACTGGTTCCCACTTTGTGTATATGCAGTTACGTACACAAAATAAGACACGGTGTCAACTTGCTGAAATTTATTTGAAAAGTTGCCATTTGGTCTGTTGTGAGTCCTAACAGTGGCAAGTTGTGGCAGCTCTAACTTCAACCTGTGGTGAGTTTGGTGACCCACAATTGCAAATTGATTTATTACAGAGGCGAATTCCATGAAATTTGCACAGCGTCCAGAATTGCTTAAAATAATCCCCCGCAGATGTGCTTCTCTGTTGGAGATTTCATTTCAGAATTCTTCAATTGAATTGATTTTTCCTGACACTCCAGAAATTAGGCCTGCATGAAGTGATTCGTGTTTGATTGTGCACCGGTTTTTTTTGTGTGGGCAAAATCGATCTATTTATTTTACTTCCGCAGTGAATGTGAGTGAATGCGTCATTGCCGTGCTGACGGCTCAAGAATCGGATTCTGCTCTCGAATGCTCTTGCAATTTGCCCTGCAGGCACGTTTCAAATAAAGCTAACACCACAAAATGCCCTCCGAATAACACAATTAATTTTTTCTTTTCATTTTTTTTTCTTGTCGTTTTCAGCGAAAATCAATACAAAATAACTACCTCGAGCTCCGAATGGCCATCATACGTTTACTTCGTGAGAAACTTCAATGGAATAAAAGGTTAAGTCATCGTAAAAGGTATTTTGAATTTGTACACTTTTTTTTGTAGGAAGAAGTGGCGGATAATTATCGAAATACCATCACTGAATTCAATAACGTAAGGGCAAAAACTGCGGAGGAGAAGAAAAGCATTTTATCCAGGGAATTCGCCAAGGTCAACATATATTTCGAAACTTTGAAGGTTGAAGAGGTTCAAGAGGAAGTCAAGTACGATGTAAGTGATGCTTGGTACTTCCTTAATTTTTTCGTAATTGTTTTCAAGTACAGTATCTTGTCTGTTACACATGGATTCCTCGTCTGATTTTAAAACTTGGGGAATCAGGCATGGGCAAAATGAAAATAACGATGCTGCTGGAGAGAAAAAAAAAAGTTCGAAAGTCATGTTCCAGTAGAAAATTGAAAATAATATCTCATTCGATTATTTTAAAACCCCTGTTCATTCAAGAAATTCTAATGTGCAAAAATTCGCCCAAATTCTGCAGTTGGTGAACATTTTAAGGTTTAAAAACATTGCAAAAGACACGATTTTTGTAAATACAGAAAAAAAGGAAAATTTCAAGAAAAATTTCGAGAAAAAGGCGAAGAATGCACTACAATCATCAACCGCTACATAAAAATTGGCAAATTTCTAATTTCTGCTTTTCATAAGACCTGTCTTCCCTTGGCATCATCACATCTCACCCAAATTTTCTATCCCGCCAATTTTCCCATCGGCGTTTTCTCCATATAATGCAGTGTTTCTTTTCATGCGGCTCTGTGAGACACAACGTCTGATTTGTTTCATTCAATTGATTTAATCGGGTACCGAATCATTTGCGTTCTGCAAACTTTTTCAGATGTCGAAAGCTCTGGGTGACCTCGGCGGAGCAACTGGCCTGTACCTCGGGATTTGCATCGTCACTTTCGTGGAAATACTCGAACTGATACTTTCAG